GTCCGAATGAATTGGCAAATTATGTAGACTATTTTTTTTGTATCTCTGTCTTTAAACAAGATCGCCGAAGCAGAAAAGCTGCATGCTGCTCGAGCAACGTGCTAAATACAGTCTCGGCCATGGGGAGAGAATCACAAGTAAGACAGCCCAAGTACAGGGGCAAAGTAAAAAAACAAACAAGGAACATTTATTATATACATTGCTCGCACTTGACCTTTGCTGGATTCGGATAGTATTTCAATGGACTACACGGGTGGTATCTGTGGACTTGTTTATATCAATCCTCAAGTAATATATAACAAACGTAAGTTAAGGTGTCTAGCTCGTTATTAGACCATTAAGCCCTAAAATTGAGATTTTACTTAAATCGAATTGTCCTGAAGCTAAAGTACCAGAAGCTTTTCTCACGCAGACTGTCGCCCTTCACAGGTTCCACATTTTCTGCTACCAGTGCTGCATCTACCACTGGACAGACGTTCGAATGCTTGCTTTTACTCCTGTATTCCTCTGTTGTCAGAGAGTCCAGTTGCAGGGAGTTTGGAGGCTGAGGAAGCTTTTGGGGACCTGCGGCAGTGACTCTTAAATGGAAATGACAATTCAGACTAAACGGTGTATTTTCCGAATACCAAAGGCTGGAATAAAGAATGTCAGGAAAAAGTATAAACATTCCAAATTACGGCACTATTGCTGTGCATATTTTGGGCAGTTTACTAGATATCATAGAGGCAACTGGGGGAAATTCGGCCGTTTTTGCTGCTACCATACAAGCTAATTTCCAGTAATTGTGAATCCTCTGAGAAATATGCCTGCATACGCGTATAAACTATATAATTAATTCAGGAAGAAGCTACATTTATGTAAAACAACCCTGTTCCATGAGCACTTCAAAGATCATCAGACGCAGGGCCTTTAAAACATCTGCGAACCAGCGCATGCAGAGTGCCAGTGCAGAGTCGGGGTCGCGAGCTAATTTGCCGACCACCGAAAGGCCCATGATATAAAGGCCGCTTCAGATGCCTTGAAAGTGGGATGTAATATCGTCCTAAATCATGAACTTGCAAGGAACAGAATTCCAGCGTCTGAAACACTTGCGTCACCGCTTCACCGACCCCTCTCAAGATTGCCTTGCGTCGTGTGGACGGACGGGGAGGTTCATCGGCTTTCATCGGCGTAATTGCCTCCGCCGATAGTTTTCGGGATTTGTAACCCAATTTTAAAGGTAAAAGGGACAAGCAAGCTTCTAAAATGTACGGAAGCACGTTAATATCGGCCTAACTCAACGTCTTGTACACCGGGTAAACGAAGTCCGGCTCCTCGAAGAGCTTGCGGCACACAACGCCAAACCAGGGAACCGGTGCTGGGAGGCGACCCGATGCGAGATCGCGGAGCAGGGTACTCGCCCTGACGTCACGGTACACCTCACCCAATCAGGGCGCAGCGACCGCAGCGACGCTTGTGTTCGCTCTCGGGGCTAATAGGCCCATACGCCTATAGGCCCATACGCCTATAGGCCCATACACCTATAGGCCCATACACCTATAGGCCGATACACCCATAGGTGTCAATAAACCGATAGGCTATGGGAATTCTCTATGGGAATTTTTGCTAGGGTGACTGACCATGGTTGCATTCCTCGGCTGGAGGCACATGCTGGGGACTGCACAATCTTCATTGCTTGTGTCCTGGAGACAAATTATTTGGAAAAATTTACCTTGTGTGGGACAAAAGGAAAAAACTAGAAATCTGAAATCATGATCAACTGCACAAATCGCTTTTCTGAAACCTAACAAAATAAACTCGTCACTAAACAAACAAAAAAAAAACTCTTTTTATAATAGTTTTAGAGACCTGCAATCACTCTAGGCGCGCGCGAGAGCAGGCTTCAAAGTGGCAGTGCGAGCACCCGCTACACAAGCGTTGCCAGAAAATACGGTCCACGAAAACTCTCCGATAGATAGTTTAAGTAGATCAAGTTTTTAGGCAATGCTCCTTGTAGCGGGAGCTCGTGCTGCTACTTCGAAGCGTGCTCTGAAGCGCAAGCACGGAGCGAAAGCGGAGGTAGCGGGCCTAAACGATCTACTAAAGCTCCCTATTGAGCGTTATAAGCGTAAACGTGATTGGCTAGCGGTCATAAGCAATTAGTTTGTCGCAGTGTCTAGTGTTACGTCAGACGGAACCCGAAATTAATTTAGTTACGTCCGACGTAACTTTACCCCAAGATTTCGAGTTAGTCCGACGTAACGCAATATGAAAATTGAAAATACGTCCCCGGTCTCAGCAGCCCCGATACACGAGGAACAGACTCCAGCCCCATCAACAAACCTGGAGCCACAAAGGGAGTCGCGATTTAAGCAATTAATGAATACTGCATCGGACGTAACGAAGTAGTAATTCACGCTATTTTTGTATTTACGTCATGTATCGGCCGTAAAGCGTAACATTCAATAAGGCCGCGTGGGCGGGTTTGGGGCAAAGTTACGTAGGACGTAACTTTAATTTATATTTCTGGTTTAGTGGACGTAACGCTAAACACTGTGATTTTTATTTCGGGTTCCTGCGGACGTAATGCTAGACGCTGCGTTAATATTAGAGAGTTTTAGTAGATCGTTTTGGCTCTCCCGCTACGCTATACGCTAGAGCGACGACGCTACTGCGCATGCGCGCTGCTAGCGGAAACATTGCGGAGGCTAGCGGAGGCGCGCTAGCGGGCCGAAATAGCGAGAGGCGTAGCGCGGCGTGCTAGCGTGGCTCTCGCGAGAACGAGTCTTGGCGAGATAAGGGAGACCCAGCGAGGGACGCTGTTCAAGATGGCCGCCACGCCGCGTCTACTTGGTCTGTGCGTTTCGCGATCGTGGTTCTAAGGGGTGGATTATACCTTGCTGCTGCGAGAAGTACCCGTGACAAAGCCGTTCCACGACTGCAACAGGTAGCGATTCATGGCGGATATACTAAACGCGGCCACGGAAAGGAGAAAAAAAAGAAAAAGAAAAAGCTTCGCAGTTTTTGGTGCTGTGAGCGAAAGGTGCAGCCCCCTGCTCGGCTGCTTTGTCATGAAGACAAAACCGACTAAGGAAGCGGAGCGAGCAAGCGGATATGAGGGATTTCTGTGACGCTTCATTTTCGGTAAACAACGACGCAACAGATGAGCTACAGTGGTGTTCCTTTATTTTTGAAGATTTTTCTCGGTGGCTTTGGCACTTGACTCATATCGGATTGGCTTGGACAGCTTGACCTACAGTTGTATTCAATTACAAACATAATAGTCACCTACTTACAAAAGAAGCAACGATTAGCACGTTATTCAATAAAAAAAACAATATTTTATTAAAATAACGACGTTAATAAAAACAATTGCGAAAAATTGCTTTACAAATCTGTTTTACGCGTGCCCTAGTGTCCGAAAGAGCCGCTAGTGGCGTTGCGTTAGCTCTCGTAACGTTGTAATCCGTAGCGGGTTGCGAACGTTCTACTAAAACTTAAAATGGTAGTTGCGCTACGCTACATATAGCGGAGGTCGTAGCGGCTAGCGGATAGCACAGCGGGAGTGACTGAACGATCTACAGGGTGTCACAAATGAAAATTTACAGAGTCTTTTTTACCGCAAAAATAAACTAGGTGTTGCCGAACGCTCATTCTCCGCCCAAAGGTAGAGCTAGAGGTCACAATCAGATGCCAAAGTTTCAGCCCGATCCGATAACTTAATCAAAAGTTATAAGTGATTTTCTGAAATTTTCAATGGGAAAATGGCGGCCGACGGCGTTTTCAAACACATGGGGCTCTATGGGACCAGAAACTGAAAACGGGAGAAAATGGGCTCCATTTTCCCATTGAAATTTTCAGAAAATCACTTATAACTTTTGATTGAGTTATCGGATCGGGCTGAAACTTTGGCATCTGGTTGTGACCTCTAGCTCTACCTTTGGGCAGAGAATGAGCGTTCGGCAATGCCTAGTTTATTTTTGCGGTGAAAAAGACCGTGTAAATTTTCTTTTATGACACCCTGTACTAAAACACACTATTCACTGCGCGAGATCGTACACTTACAATAATATGTAAAATCTCGTATGTTAATTGTATGAAAGACAGACACCATTTCAGCAGTGGCCGCAGAGTTATTGAAATTAGGCAAATAATAATCAACACATAAATACACTCACCGCTATTCGTCGCCGCTTCGGCGGGGACGGTGGGGACTCATCGCGCGGTGCAACGGAAGGGATAGCATCCTTCCTCAAACGGGGTCGCTTCGCACCTACGCCCAGGCTCCGGCTAACCTGAAGGTTCTGTTCAAAGTCTCCTGACCGAAAATGCAGCGAACAAATTCTGACGCCATCGCCGAGACCTCTGCGCAAGACAACGCTGTTCAACCAAAGGCTTTGCAATGCTTCATCGCTTGGGAGTAGGTGAAAACTAGAGTTGCCCGAACGATCACGGGTCTTCAGTCGACCGTTTGAACATCCTTCAACAGCGCATAAATTTGGCATGGCTACCGTGCCGTGTTCCTGAAGTGAACACAGTGAACACGACACCGCCACCTAAAACCAAAAGTCTCCCGCGTGTGCCGCGCTGTGCTCTTTATTTTATGTGTTTTGTTTGCCCATAGTTCGCGTGAAGTGTAGCAAATAGTAAAATAATTATGGTGTTTTATTTACGGTTTAGTAATTATTTTCGGTTCGATTTATAGTTTTCATGGCTATTCAAGTGGAATTAGAACAGTGTTCGTAAAAACCACGAACCAAAGCGAGACCGGGGGCACGTCTGTCGTTTCGACCAATCGCTGACGCGTCTCTTGTGACGACACGCTTCTCCGCTTCTGCTGGTTTCTCCCGCAACGCTCGGGGCGTCGCCTCGATCGATCCCGGTACGATTAAACAGTCACCGCGACTGTTTAATTGATTTGCGCGGCACACAGGCGCCGGTTTCGGCTGAAATTTGGGCGACGTAGCCTGGAACGTTCCCGGAACCCAGTCCAATCACTAAAAAAATATCCGAAATTGCCTTCATTGTCCATCGTTCCTGTCTGTGTGACAGAAGGCATAGTTAACAAGGAGCGGTCTGAAGAACTTTGTGCAGACATGATGGATCAGTTCACGGCAATGAGCCTTGTTGTTCGTTGGGCAGAGCAGCAAAGGAGAGTCATACACTGCTGGCAGTCCAAACTTCACAAGAGTTTCGAGGGGCTGCCAATTCCTGAGGTTGTACGACAACACATCCGCTGCAAACATCCTGAGCACATTGAGAAGGTGGGCAAGTTCATCTGAGGGATACAAAAGGCCTCCCCGGTCCAGGTGGTTTGTGATCCCTTGCAAGGCACTGTTTGTCTTCGGCTTTGTGAGAAGAGGTATGCAGAAGAAGCATGAAAAGTGTTCTTGTACAACACGGGCAATGTAGCCCCCAACGTGCGCTGTCGCCGACAGCTCGAGGCTTGGCAGGTATTGTACGTTGGGATCTGACAGCTTTTCTAAAATTTCCGCTGCACTCTCTGGAAGTTGGAATGGCGTGGCAGCTGACACTGTTGGTGGTATGCACCGAATTGCTGAAGTCATACCCGATGAGGTGGAGGCAGCATGTGACACATTGCTCTGCTGGGAAGCTGTGATGAGACCAGTTTTCAGGATCTTTTCAATTCCTGAGATTGCAGCCCGAACGCTAAGCTGGTCATTGCACCCTTGAGATCGTCTCAATGAGCCAAACAGGGACTCAATGGCGTCGCTGCTGAACTTCCTGGTCAGTACAAATCCAAAGTCTTCCTTGGTTAGAAAGTGTTGTACACATGCAACTGTCGAGTATGTTGTCAAGAGAAGGGCTTCGTAGGTTTCTGTCAGGAACTGTGATGGGCTTGCTGTGCTCTTGATCTGCTCGAGATAGGCTGGGAATGAAAACTCGAGCCATTCCAGACGAGGGTCGTCTGGGTGATCATACTGGCGCACATCTGGATAGCGTTGGTGTATGTGTTGTGTGCAGTTACTGGTATCATGCAAAATGAACCAGCGGTACACAGAGTCCATGAAGAAGATGGCTGGTCCTGCGTCCGCATACAGTAGGTCACTCTTATGGCCAGCTTGTTCCTGGAGGTGCTTGAGCACAGCGGTCACTTCAGGGGAGAAGAGCTGGACTGCTCTCTTGGCATTCATTTTCTCTATGTTGCTAGGGAAAAGATGTTTGCGACTCAGGAACCTGACTGGCTTGACAGCTGCCTCTCTCTGGAGCTCGTACAACTTCTTGAGGTAGAAGGACTTGATCTCATTGTCCTTTCCAAAGTTGCGTTCCAGGAATTGGGACCGTATATTCTTCAAGATGTGAACATAGTCAAAGCTAAGGAACAGAATCCTCTCCGGGTCATTTGGGTGCAGGATATGATGTGTAAGGAGTCCCCCACAAAGCTGCTTCATTGCATTGACATTCACTCGGTGATTGTCAGTTACAATCCGGAGTACTTTGAAGCCAACGTCTTCCACCTTGCCCAAGACATGAAGCAGAAGCTTGGCCAGTTCGGTTCCTGTTAACCCTTTGGTAAAAAAGTAGGCAACAGGGATCCGGTATGAAATGCTGAGCCCATTCATGAGAAAGCACAGCAACGAATTTGCCAGGGTGGGCTGCTTGGTCTTTTCAGTCAATGGTCCCAGGTCCACTTGGCCCACAAAGACATCCTGCTGCTTGTTGTACTGCAAGCTCTGTTTGATCTGCATTTCATCAATAATGAGAGAGCATGTCCTTGATTGTGTGTTTGCCAGGTTGTGCAGTTCTGTTTGAAGCCGAGCCTTCGCCAAGTCGCTGAAGCCAGTTTGACCTGAGGCAGCTCCAATGTAGCTTTGCAGAGTGTTCCTGCTGGGAAGTTTAAAAAGCTCTTCAGACCTTATGTGTTCATAGGCCTTTGTAGAAATGTGTCTCAGCAAAATGCAGTGACGGATGGTATGTTCTGTCCACCTTGGGCTTTTCTTATGGTAGTTCTTTACTTGGTCGACTAGAAACATAGCCGACATGTTCTTTTCCTTTGCTTGTTCACGGATGTTAAGAAAATTTTTGACATCATCTTCTTCTCTCAGGTTTTGCAACTTTTCCAAGTCTTTTTTGTATCTGTCAACATCTTGAGTCTCTCCACTTGGTTTCGCAGGGTGGTGACTCGTCGGGTCTCATTTACGTTTCTCTATGGTTATTTAATTGTGCTGACATCTTTCGAACGTCTGCCTGTGTTCCTTGATGGGTGAACTGCAGCACTGGCTGTTGGCATGACCTGCTGTCTGACTCTTCTCATGCCTGCCTGTTTTGAGGCTCCAAGGTGCTCGCTGGAGATGTCCAGATGATTTGGATTCGTTCAGCACCTTCATTGCACAGAAAGGAGGTAGGTGGAGTGTCCAGTGTAGAGCTTGATGTCGCATCAGTCACTTGCGAACTGCCTGTGGCCAGGCATTGCCTCTTCTTGGGAACTTCTGATGAATATGGAGTGCTGCACTTCCTTCTGATAGCGTCTTTCATCTTAGTGATATTTGAAGGCGGCATGCTCCAAAAGATGCTTGGGATAGCACCCTTCTTCAGCTTCCGGCATTTGCCCTCAACATAGTCGGATGGCACAAAGTGCCGACTGCAAACCATGGAGTAGGTTGATGGCAGCCAGTCATCTCTCTTGATTGCTTGTAGCCAGCTCGCTCGTTCATCCGGGTCTGATGGTATTTCGTGGAGTGCAAAGTTCCTTTCTTGAGCTGGCTTCCGTCTGCTTGAACGACAATGTGGTATGCAGCAGGTCATGCCTGAAATAGGACGTCATGATTAGGGCCAAACCATCCTTTTCTCTTCCTTATTTGAATATAATAGTGATCACTTGTGTATCTGCAATTAAATGCTTTGTCATCTTCCGTGTGTAACATTCTTTACATATGTGAACTTCGACTGATAAACTGAGTGCATTGTCGTAAAAGGAGTATGCTCAGTGTTTATTTGTAACATATTTGGGGTTCTGCGTATTGGATTTCATTTCTGAGCAAAATGCATGCAGAGTTTTTCGGAGTTTTAGTTTGTGGTACATAAAATTCAGAGTGGCTTTTCTAGCCGAGGTGAATGAAAGGTAGAAAGCAGCAGTTTCCAAATTTATTAAAAGAGCCTTTTCATGTGTGAAACATATTCGACTGTGGTTGTGGGGAGGCTGGCTTATTTTTATTACAAAAGACAAAACAGCAATTTTGTGACACCTACAATTGGAAATTGACACTAAAAACGAGGTGAATCGTAAGCTGGCTCGCGGAACCACGGTGATATAAAGGCCTGTTGGGTTTATTAAAGCTGGCAGACCCAAACAATTTCGAGTTTTTACGACAAATCTAAATTGACAAAATTTATAAGTAACAAATGTTTTTATCGGCAAGTGTTTTCTGGTTTTTATTGGCTTTATTCAAAAACGCAGAACCTATTACAGGGTTAAAGGGACACTGACAGTGTATTTATGCTTGCCAAGGTTTTTATTTGTACATTACATATGAGAGCCCAACTACCCGGAAAACAATTCGCTGCTCAAAATTTGTTTTCTTTCCGATCGAGAACTGGCCGGTTTGAGTTGCGCTTTTACTCTCTTCTCTGTGGCCATGTGCCGTTTTTATGGTTTAGACACAACCACCAAAGATCAGAGTCGTACGTCATCGAAGGCAGGCACACAATTATAGAAATGGAAAAGACATATGATGCCCATTATTTGTGGCTTCTAAAAAGCTGCAAATGCGTTGTTTTGGGGGGAAAGAAGTATCACAGCCACCTCTCTCCTCTTCCCATATTTCTTCTACCTCCCCAGTCCATGAAAACTTGTTGGCCTAGTTGGTTCATGGTGCAGTCTAGTAGTGTTTGCGCGACAGAAGGAAGTAGAGGGGCTTGTCCGTGTCTACTCACTTATTGTCCCTTGTGTCGCGCAAAAACTTCTAGACTCCCCAGTCCAGTTTCAGTTTCAAGCAGTTGCATTTTTTTTTAACTTTATTAAAAATATATGTGACGCTGTAGCAACATATTGATTCGGTAGTCTTCTGATACCATAATAAATCGCCTGGCAAAAAATTAAAAAAAAATAATTTCGGGGGGTTTCAGTGTTCTTTTGTTTTAGAATGGTTTATTTAACACCACTTGCGAAGTACACAAATGTTTGTGAATAAATGCTTCGAAACTCAAGCTGGATTTTCTCGGTTTATTTTTCAGAATGGTAACGTGTTAGCCACTGGACCACTTCCTTAAACTATCTCCCAGGAGTTTGTTTTTCGGCACGTATAGGTGTTTGTAGTCATATATATTAGCAAGTATGCTAGCGCTAAATGAAGATGATGTGTTTCAATGTGATGACTTGCCTATGGAGATACTATGTAAATGATGCCTAGCACATACCAGTGCTGATATATGCACTATTTTCGCTCCAAACAGGCTTCTAAAAATACGAAATGTCACCACATCTGTAATAAATCTAGATTAATCCTCATACTGATATGTGGTCTACGTGTCAGATGAGACCTAAATAAATCGCAAAAAATTCGGATTTGCGAGCTACAACACTGTAATTTATCACGCAAGTTCGTCTAGGTGGTGAATTTAGTTACTTAAAATATCAAGAAAAATACTTCCCTCAGTCAAAAGTTACAAGGGAAAATTAAAAAATTTCCACGTATCTCGATCTAAAAAAAAAAAAAGAAAAAGAAACCGTGGTTGTAGGCCATTGGGAGGCTTGATTTAACAAAAGCGTGGACGGGACAGCCTTGATATCGTCCCCCGTTTTTGTCTACCAAACGTCCCAGCGGCCCACAAGATTGTTTTCTAGCTTTAAGAGTAAAATTAAGGCTTCACCTTATGTCGGCCCATAGAACTTTGCTTGTTTTTACTTGCAACTTTTGAGTGGGTCAAGTCTTTCCTTTTTTTATTTTCAGAAATAAAATCCACTACCTAGCCGAACTTGTGCGGGCAATTACACTGTCGTAGCTTGCAAATCCGATTTTTTAAAGATCTATCTAGGTCTCGTCTGACATTTGGACCACGTACGCTGTATAAATTTCGGTAATGTACGACGCGCAAGAAAATGATTTCTTTTTTTATGTGCTACTGACAGCTGATGAAAGTAGGCGAGACATAGACATGAAATCGATATAAGACATGAGGTGTTTTGACGAGGGGAGAGAATGGCAGATTTTATATTTTCTCAAGAACCGAGCTGGTATGTGCAATTTTAAAATGACAGTTGAACCACCAAAATATAGCATTCCGCAGTTCTCCTATACAGGCGTGCTATAAAATTATTTGAGACATACGCTACTTCTCTGGAAAATTGTTTGACGGAACATTAGGACGTTTTCATGCCCAGAATGCTGTTTTGGGGTCGCGCATGCAGTTGCTCCACTATTTACCGGGCTTGTGAGAGCACTAAATAGTAGCTTCGCGGTGATTATTTGCGTTCGTGTTCATTATATTATTTAGATTTATTCTGTCACTCACCTGCTAACAGTCGTTGGACGCTGTTTCCGTGCGCGCCCGAGAAAGCTCCGAAATTCCGTTTTAGCAGACGAAGCGTTCGCCGGTCGCGCCGCACCAGCGCCTCCTGGCTACACTTACCTTGGTTTAGCACAGAAGTCGTTTACCCGTACACGGCACGTGTACCGCTCTGAATTCTGAAAGCGGAGCTGACAGGCATAGCAGAGCCGTAAATGTAGAGAGTTTGGCAGCGCCATTGGCCGAAAGCGGGCTGGGCGTGTTCCAGGCCGTCTTCAGAAATTTGAATGTGACCAACCAGAAGCCGGAAATGATTACCCTGGCGGTGGTCGCGAGAAACAAACCTGATAACTGCAATGGAGTAACTCTCAATGGCTGAAAGTATGGTACACGTGATATTTTAATCACGTTAATCCAAAATGATGGTGGAAGAGTGCGACTAGCGGAACGATCGACATAACCCGTACGCCAAGCGCCGAGGGCCGGGAATCTGCCGTCCGAGCGGTCACACTCTGTCCGCACAAAACAGATTTGCGCGGCGCATTCGGTTCTTACATCTTTCTGCGTGATCATAATCAAAACAACACGTGCACCCTATTTTGAACCACGAAGAGTTACTACACTGCATTCTTACGCGCTTATGAAAACCATATACGAACATAGACTTTTGATCAGAACTGTTTGCCGCTACCACTGCTAGGGGATTCTTTTCGGCTTCTGGTTGGTCAAGAGAGTATGCCAAGCCCTCTTTCCAGGGTGTTAAGGCCCGTTCACACTCTTGCGACTGCTTGCGACCTCTTAAACCTGGGTTCCTTAAAACTTCTTAAACCAGAGAACACACTGGCGCCATCTATTGGGAAGCAGTGTAAACTCGGCGGTCCGACATATTTTTTTTGATTTCTCGCGCAATATCCTTTCTTTTTTGGCTCGAAAAACTTTTGTCAATGTTATAAACGAGCCTTTCTATGGGTATTACGCACATTTGACCTCAGAAATCCCGCAAAACCTTCGCTTCTGTGAAATGCAGTTCTAGGGTCACCGCATAGATGGCGCCACAATGTCAGTGTGTCCCCTCATTCTAGAAACATTTAAGAAGTTGTAAGAGATCTCGTCTCTCTCAGTCGTACTCGGTCGCAAGGGTGTGAACGGGCCTTAAGATAGACAGGTGGGGAAACGAGAGCCAAATGAGCGACCGGATTGTGTCCCCCTCGGCTTTCTTTTTCTGTGGCGCCATCTATGTGGAGCACCGCGAACCCTCACTCCTAGTGGGCGACCTTTGGCGACCGGCTAACTGACGGAGATGGTTTCTCCTGGATTTTCAATGAAAGACTATCGTGCTCTTGTTTTATTTTCCACACTCTCCCATAGAGTTCCACCCAAATCCGATTCCGATTTTTTTTCTCTCGCCGCAGCGCCATCTGTCGCGAATAGGGGGTGCCCGCAAGCAGACGAGTACACAATCCGGTCCACGACCCACTCTATTTATAGAGTGGGTCGTGATCACTGATCTCTATGACAATTGCTGGATCGCGCTTCC